TATAATAATCCTCCTTTATTCTCTAATGCAAACATATCTGCCAAATTTGTCTGCCACAGCCTGATTATGCAGGTACCATCAGTCTTGAAATAAAATAAAATAATAAACTATAATGAAAGGCATGTTTTTCACAGTTGCCACAGGAAACTCCTTCACTTCACTTTCTAGACCACCAGTATACATGCCAAAGGATCTAAGAGGAAATAAGGAGTTTGTTAAATTAAATCAGCAGTTCAGGGCAGTAGCAAACCTGCTGGAGCATCAATGTGTGATGCAATGAACTGACAAAACATACATCTGCTGCCGTCATCGCAAACTGGACAAAGATCATGTCCCTTTATGGAGCTACTATGCCAAAGTATGAGCAACCAAGAGAAACTATCACAAAAGAAATAGCACTCACTTCTACAAAGTGTGGCTTTTCTTTCTGCATGAGTATATGGAAACCAAGAGGCAGGGTGTATGCGCATATATTTTTTTATACAGCATCCTGAAGGGTCTGGATAATGCAATTTACCTCCAGGCCCAAAAGAAGATACTTCTGTTGGAGAAAGTTCACTGTTACACTTCCTAAAATGTTGCCAAGCTAAAGTTGGTGTCGTTGGCTTACCACATAGGGGATCTCGCCCATCTCACCAATAACCTGTCTGCTATCATCTCTGGTTTACAGTCTAGTATTCTGTGATTTAACAGAATACCCCCCAAAAAAAACAAGATTTTTTTTCTTTGAAATTTGGATCCAACTCTTCAAATTCAAACCAAGTTTTGCATGAGAAATAGGCTACTTTAAATATTAAGGACAGTTTAAAGAAGTGGAAGAAAAAAGTAATTTTTATTTTATTTATTTATTTATTTATTTATTATTTTTTTTTTTTTGGTTTTTTGAGAAAGGGTCTCACTATGTAGTTGAGACTGACCTGGAGCTCACTATGTAGCTCAGGCTGGTCTCAAATTCACACCTATCCTCCTACCTCAGCCTCCCAAGTGCTGGGATTACAGGTGTGCACCACCATGCCCAGCTGAAACAAGCAAATTTTAAAAGAGGGAGAAAAATAATAGGGGAATAAAAGAAATAATGGAAATGGTAATTAAAGTAAGAAAAATATTAAGGAAATAAATGAATAATAAATCTTTCTAGTGAGCAGAGGAGAAGAGACACTTACATCCTGAGCATTTTCTGACCCATGTGATGTGTGAGAGTATTGCCTAAGCTTCCTGAGAAATCGGAGTGATAAAATGATCTCATTTCCATTTCCTACCTTTTGAAAGATACACCATCTTTAATCTAACCTAGGGTTTTCCAAACTATGTATACAGATAGTCTTCACACCACCTGTATTTGAATACATGAAAAAAATGTAAAACTGGAATCTCTTCGCCTCACCCGGAATATCCACAAAGGTACCCTGGTCTGGGCATTTGCTCCAGGGAGGCACAAGTGGATTCCAGGTAGACAGCAGCAAAAAAGCTAGAAAAAGAAATCTTTATAGAGAGGTCCTTTCGATAGGAAATGATTTACTTCCAGACAGTGGGGTTGGGAAGAAGAAAGCTCAGGACATATTTAGTGCACATTACCTTCAGGGATTGTTTGACAGAAGCCTAGGAGAATGAAAGCGATAAGGCTGGAAAATGCAGCTGAAGAAAAGATGACTGAAAATCATTAAGCAATTGTGAGTCTACTGAAAGTTTTTAAGCAAAAAAACAGTAACGCCGAATTGATCTAAGAGGTCACATAATTACAGAGAAGGACACAGGGACAAATGTTTAGCAGTGTGCTTAAGGGTAAAGAGGCGCCTTCCGGGGTCCCAGTAGAAGGCACCCTGTCTGCCTCATTTCTACAGGTTCAGTGTCAAGGAGAAACAGAGGCAGGGAGCAGCAAGCAAAAACTCAGCGTGGGCTGCGTTCTGCCATCCCTGCCCCATCAGCAACCGAGCTGCAGCTCTAATGGGGAGAGGGGCTTCTGTCCCCATCAGGCCACCAAAGAGAAAGATAAATGAAGTGAGCAGCAGAAGCAGCATGGTGACCTTTCCTTCGCTCCCTGGAAATGTTCCAGCTCACGGGAAAAAAAAAAAAATACAGAAAGCAAGTGGTTCTCCAGCTCCTGTGTACCTATCCAATGTCCCCGTGCTGAGGAGAATGAATCAGGCTTTGGCATAAACCCATGAAACTCTGAGTAGTGGTTGTTGGGGGGATAAGGGCAGACTGTTGCATTCCAGAGAAGACGACCATTAAAAATGTTAAAAAAACAAACAAACAAATTTTTGCAAGGTTCCAGAAAAGCTTATCTTGAAGTCAGCAGTGAGTCAGAGGCTTTATGTCACTCTTGCTACAATCCTGTATCCCCAATCCTAACACCAGAAAACTGCGTCCAGCTGTGTTGGTACAGCAGTCGGATGCCTTCTGAGAAAGAGAATGTCCCCCTCAGACTCCATCTCCCCGCCTGGAGCCCGTGCTTTCTCTTGCTGCTTCCCGCTCTCGTCCCAGGATCCCCGTGGCCCGTGACATTCGCAGATTCTCTTGGAGCGCCCAACCTGGGACTCTCAGACGATGACGTCTAGGAAGTTCCCACGGCCCGAACGATGCAGGCTCTGACATGCCACTGTGTGCAGGGGGGTGCGCTGGGTGTCAGGAGGCCTGCAGCGGCGGAGCAGGCTGAGCCGTGACCAGGTAGAGCCAAGTGGGGCTCGTCCTAACAGCTCGCTCAGATTCGGCCTTCTGCCCTTTGCAGCCCTGAGCGGGAGCTGCTCCTCCTAGAAGGCTGCTAGATGGGCGCTCTCCCCAATCACTTGGCTGGCCTTTACGCTCTCTTTCTGGATTAACAAGGGTTTGCGAGCACAAATACGAGCCCCATCATCTTGCCCCTTCTCTTGTCCCTAAAACGGGTGCCGGACTCAGGTCCGGGTGACCAAAGCTGTCCAGGCTGCTAGGCGCAAGGCTGAGCTCCTGAAGCGCAGGGAGCAGGGGAAGCTTGCGCGCCTCCAGGAGCGCTGCGCGCTGGACAGCATCTTTCGAGCTCACGGCTGCGGAGACCGCACCGCTGGGGCGTCCTCTCTCTCAGCTGGCCTAGAGAAGGGGCTGGGCGCTGCACTTTGTTGTTTCAAAAGTTCTTGATATTTGTTAGAAATGCGCCTCCGTCCTTAAGGAGCCCCCCATTTACCGGGTACCCACTTTTCCTGAAACGGATGCATTTTTGAGTAAAAGACCCATTAGACCTATTTGCATCAAATTCTCTTTGTCCCCTGCCCTAAGGGTCTGGTCACGAATTTTATGCCGTCAGGCGGAAGCGTGACCCAAACCTGAGGCTGCACTCACCCTCCAAAGCCTTTGGGTTTCTTATTAACCGAGGAAGAGGAAACTGGTCAAAGGAAATAGTCAAAGGTGTTCTGGAGTGACGGAGGTTGGTGACTCTAAATACTATTTGCTGGTTTCAGGAGTGTCCCCTGCAAAGAGAAATATCAGTCATAGAAACTGCCCAGAAGAGAAAATGTGGATATCCATTCATAAAGCATATTCAAGCACACATGTAGGGTTGGAGCAAAGTTAAAAAGAGGAAGGTGAGGGAAATTCCTGATGATTTTACTAGTGTTGGAATTCCATAGATTTAGCTATTTGTATTTTTTTCTTTCACGTCATCAATTCAGAATTCTATAAAGGAAGAGCATGACATCAAAGGAAATCATTGGCCTAGCAGAAAAAAGCCCGTAGGCGTTTAGGTGTTATATATGTGGAGCCAGAAAGCTCTACAGCATCAGGGAGAATCCAACTTCAGGCAACATCATGGGTGAATATGGGCATCATGTGGACTGGGGGGGAAAAGCCAGGACTGGTGCCTGTACAGTGGTCCTCAGGCAGGCCCTTCTGCTCTGGGGCCATTCAGTCTTGGTGGGTGAGCTCAGTGTGGAACGGGGGTGAAACTGGGTTTCCAAGTACATTCCTGATGCCTTGCTATTTGTTCTATCAGATTTTTTCAAGAAGATTTTTGTCTTGCAATTGCTAAGGTTGGTGCTAACTTACAACTTCAGCAACTGTGACTATAAGAAGATAAAAGGCGACTATGAGAACATTATTTTTCATAGCCTGAATGACTATATGAATAAGGTAAGTGAGGAAACATTTTTAAAACAAATATACCTGCATCAAAAGAGAAGACATACATATACACAAACTACAGTTTAATTTTCAAGAAAAGAAAAATAATTTGGAAAAAATTATTTCATCGAGAAATTTTGCAAGTAATAGCCAAATACATTGGCCTGTAAAATAACTATCCAGAAATTAGCATACTATACAGTAGCTGATGAGGTACAGGTATCAATAGGCAGCATGTTACATACAAAGAATACATACCCTCTGATGAAGTGTTGCTCTAATTATGCAGTAAAAAAGAGCAGAGGAGGACTTGAGAAAGAAACAGCAGTCAGAGAAGGAATTCTAGTGAGATAAGCCCCAAGAAGTAAGGAACTCTAAGGCATGAGTCTGTGCTTCATGATGTTTGTGGATGCTATTATGGAAGATGATGCACTTTGAGTTTTTAAATATATTGGAGTAATAATTTCCCTGCGACTCTGAATGTCTGGATAGCATGCAAAGAGTGAATATCCTCAGGGCAGACTCAGACATCCAGAGGGTGGTGTGATTGCTAAGCAGCTGCATTGCGGGCAGGCTTATCTGGTGTCTGCTTGGGTCTGGTCTTGGAGAAAGCTGTCTCTGAGACCAGGACCTCCTGACGTCTTATTTCAAACTCTAGTCAGAACCACCTGAAGGCTTGCATTGCCTTGTGGATGATACGGGAAACAAGTTCCTCGGTGGAAACTACTTTCAGAGCATTTTTAAAACCTGGACGCCAGAAGCTAAGGAATGATTTTTCCCCGTGGACTTAAAATCTTTATCCTTCTTATTCTATTTTGTTTTCTCTTTTCTAGACCAGAAGTACCGACTTCAATCACGTTGCTTGTTACAAGTCTGTGAGTAAGGTGCTCAGCGGGGCTGGCTTTGGAGGGAGAGTGTCTTGAACCCCAGGAGATCCTCGCGCCCAGCTTGAGACTTCTGTTCTAGTTTTGTCCCGATTCAGAGAGGAAGTCTGTGTCCCGTCCGGAGAAATCCCGGGAGTGGCTGTCCCTTCCTCCCCCTATCACACGCCTCCCCTCGGTCGAGGCGAATGGAAGCTGGGACGGGGGACGGAGTCAGAGCCCCGCCTCCGCGGCCCGCCTGGGGCTCCGGTTCTGGGCCGCCGCCTGCCCGGCCCCTTGGGCGCGGCGAGGGAGGGGGGTCCCTTCCACCCCGGCGCGCTCTGCCCACGGCGACGCCCTCCTTCCCTCCGCTCGCGCTGGACATCTTTGTCAAGTCTTCCGCTCCTCCCCCGCCTTCCCTCTGGACGCTTTCACTCAATTCTTTCTCTCTCACCCGCCCCCTTTCTGGCGTTTTCTGCTGTGTTCCTCAATGTCCCTGTGAACAGGCTGATTGCCTCGCCAAAATCGAGCGCCACACCTTCAGCTCCACCACCTGCCCGTCACTCTCCGAGGAACTCTTTGCCTTGAGAACTAATGCTACCCTAGCTCGCTATTGCCCAGGCTACTTCAAAGTTCAGGTAAGCCCAGCGCATAGGACACTGGTTTTTAGTACTTTGAGACTAACCTTGAATTAAACTGGGGCTTTAAGGCAGAAGTTTTTCTGAGATTTTTATTGAAGTTTATTTAATCTTTTGAAGATTAGGTTGCAAGGTTGTTGATTAATGTCACGTTGACACCCAGACCCAACCCATTTCTAGGCTTCTGATTTAGTTTTGGCCGAATTATGATTCTAAAACTTTAGATCAGTGTTTCAAAGTGCCATCATCCCTTATACTAGAATATCCTGGCTGCGAGCCCACATTAGGATGACTGTTCAAGATGCCAGTTCCTAGACACCCATTCCAGACTTGCAAAGTAAAAATAAATAAATAAATAAACAAGTAAAATTCTACATATATGGCTCTTTAACAGATTCTTGTCCATTCTGAAGTTTGGCAGCACTGCTAGGGTTTATCACTTCATAATCGTGTGCTTTCTTAAAATATTACTTTATACTACATGAAATCTCTACCCTATTTTAATTGCTCAAATGGGTGGAACTGTGGTGTCTGTATATAATACATTTGTGCACGTGCAGTTACATGCAATGAATGAATATGTTACTTTAAAGATGGTGACAGTACAGTGGAGAGTTAAGAGAAATAACTAGAGACAGTCATCTTGGTTTTGAATGCCCAGTCTCTAATTTCTCCGAAGACTTTGGACAAATCACTTAGCCTCTGTGTGCCCTGCAAAATAAATATATGAGTAAGTCCCATGTAAGGTATTTTTGAGAATTGAATGAGTCAACATGTGTAAGAGCACTTGAAAAGGTGCCTGCTATATAAACAAGTACTCTATAAGTAACTCAGTTGGCAAGTAAGATAGAAAATGTACCTTCATGATGACAAGCGTAAGAGAAACAAAGATAAGCAGTACAGATAAATATGATTGTTTCTTATTAGTCCAGCAGACCTTAGCAATTTGCCATCTGAGTATCTAGGCATTCAAGGCATCCAATCTTTTTAGGATTTGAGGATTAAACCCAAAGGGGGCAATCAATTTAGGGATTGAAACCATCTGGGTTGCACATCAGGCAGCATAAGAGAAAACGATATGGTTCTATCCCTTTTTTTCAAAGAGACCATGACTAACCTACAGATGGACACAGTAAAATTCACCTATATAAGACAGAGGATAGGTTTGTCGAGTTCAAATGACAGCAGATGGAAAAGGGAGAGTCTAAGAAATTTATTTCATCCTTCCTCTGCCCTTGGCACAAAAGGGGAGTCTGAAACCAGTAAGAATTATGATTTAGCAGATTTTAAACCATAAGGTTATTGATTATTAACCCAAGAAACTCTAACAGTCTAACTACTGCGAGAGTAGGAGGCTCAGTCTATCACCACACAAGAGTATTTCAGGTGAAGGAATACACCAAATTCTCTTCAGAAAAAGCCTTCTGGTGCCTGTGGCACATGAAATTGGGCGTGAGAATAAGGAGCAGGAACACTGTGGTTTTAAATATTAGCCTAGGTTACCTGAATTAAATCTATTAAAGACAAGTAAAATTAGTATTTTTGGGGGGGGAACTTACCTTTTCAGGGAGATCATAAAATCATAAATTATTCATTCACTTAATCCCACAATAAATATCCAGTGTTTCCTTATGTATAAGACACAGTAATCAGCGCTAAGGGAAATGCCCATGAAGCAATCATAAGCACAGTAAGTGAAAGCCAAGTGAAGTGACACATAATCTGAAGCACTAGCAGAGTTTCAAAAAGGATGATCTAAGTGATTACCAGAGACTTTGTGGAGGAGGTGGTGCTTGGCCTTGAACCAGAGTATGTGAAAGGAGAGACACAGGAGGACGTTCCTCTAGAGAATTCACTTACCATCATAAGGTACACAAGCACTTCTAGGACAGACTAAGAGATCAATTTGCATAGAAATGATGAAATCTGCCACTCAACAATTGTTAGAGACAGTAAAAATTTATTTTTAACTATTGATTCTCCTATTCAACAGATAAATAATACCCAGAAAGTGCAGCGAAAAGTCAACCGTAACTGCCTGGAGCAAACTTCACAAATAATTGGATGGTGGCGTTTTTTCAGCCGGCATTTGAAAAAATAAAACTATCTTCATTAGCATCATATTTTACAGCACTAAAATAAATCATTTATTAAGTAGATAAAATGTAGAGATGGCATTCAAGACTATCACTTTTTAGGACTTGAGGATTAAACCCATTGGGGGTTTACAAGACTTTACAGGAATAGTACTTCCCCTGTATTAAAAATAAACTTACATTAAGCAATAATAATTTACAAAAAAAATAAGTTCTTCTGTCATTAAAGAATAACTTGATAGTCTTTTACAATGTCACAGGCAGGCATTTCTTCTACATGCAATGATTCTTCTCCTGTCCTCATAACAAAAAATTACAAAGGAAGAAAACAAAAGCAAAAGAGAGTGCACAAAAATTACAAATATAGCGCAGCAATTTGATAGAAATTTCAAGGAAATTTTGTGAAAGTATTCTGAACCAAGTGTAAAACATTAGCTAATAGTCAAGAGTGATAATGTAAGTCAATCCTGACAAAATACCTTTGTTACAGCTACACTCTGTGTTTATATATATATTTTAAATTTTTATATGATGCATTTTTAATTTATTTTATGAGCACTTTGGAAATTGTACATACTACTTTGTAAGTGGCGCTATATATTTCTTAATAAAATAAATCTCAAACTATTTTCTTATGAATGGTCTTTTGATTTTAGCCAGTAGTAGACACTTTTCCCACAGCCTTTTCTAAGGAATTTCACTTCTCTTCAGTCTTTACCTCCACTCATACCAAGATCCATTGACCACATGCCCATGCATTATGCCTATTGGTCTTGCCCATGGAGAAAATACAGTATTTTGAGATGGGTGGCTAAAAATATTTAGAGAATGGTGAGTGGAATGCATCTTTTTTAAAAAAAAATTCATTGCTAGTCCTTCCCCTCTTTCCCCTGTTGAGCTTTCTTCACACTTAGAAGAAACAAAACAGGCAAAGATGAACAAGGGGTGTTAAATCATGCTTGAAAGTTGCTGCCTGCAAGAGCCACCACACACTCTCTGAACGCTGATGGAAGAGACAATTCTAGCCGTAGAGCTCAGGTTAAAGCAGGGCATGTGGGAATATGATGATCTTTTGTGTGAGTAGTAGCATTCTCCTGACCATTAACCTGAGTATTGGCGATAAGCTACAATACAAGAGGGAACATTTTAATGTCTCTAAGTCCTCCTTATCTGCCAACTTGTCAGAGAATGTTTATTTCATGTATTCAACAAGTATTTAATGAGTACAAACTACAGCCCAAGGCTTCGGCTGAATAGTTGGAATACAAAAGTAAGCAACACACAGCCCTTCTACAGAGAAACTCACAGGACAGCAAGATAGGCTGTTTTCTTTGTTTCAAGAAAAATCAGAACATGCTCACTTTCCAAAAATCTCCCTCTGAGGTCTTGGCTCGTGGCTTTACATCCCATCATGAGGAAAACATTTTTGGGCTTAGAATAGGGCAATATTCTTTAGTTTTTTGTACAAAAGTTAGGGAGAAAGATGACACTTTATGTCTTTTAACTCTACTTTAATAGGGATTCACACACTACAGCTTTTAATAAACTGTGAAAAACTATCATGATAATCTTTCTCAAATCTTTGGCCTGATTTCACAAACAGCAGAGAAGCATGAAGGATTGCCCAGAAAGGAGACCAAAGTCATCCTATTAAAAATAGTTTCTTTATGCCTTGCTATATCTTTATATTTTTGAGTAATTCATATATTTTTATGTATCCATAGGTATAACAAAATAATGATTTAAGCCATTTGTAGTGTCAAAGTTATGTGCATGAAGATACGTTATGTCAATCTAGTAAGGACTTTCACAAATATAAAAAATATCAATTATAGATTTCATTTTTTTGCAAATGTACTGAGGGGTTTTGTAGATGAATACGTGGTCAGTTTTATCACTGTTTCATGTCAATGAAAAGAAAGTTGCAAATTCTGGAATAACTAAAGTTGGATGCACACTTACTGAGATTGCCTTATGAATTATGCTATTTACATAATCTATATTCCTGTTTTTGCCTCACTTAGAGGCCAGGAATTGTGTTAGAGTTGCTTACTGTCATAGTTTTTTTTTTTATTTGTAACCTTAAATTTAGCTTTCTAATTGCTGATGCTATTTTTATTTACAGGAATTCTACTTTTAATGACCTTCCTATTTAATGACTCTGGACTTAACACTGAGATGTGCTGTTTGGACTTATGACCTGTTCCTGACTTACAACTCATCTGTCTTTTTGTACAGTTCTGTACATCTTTTTGATAGAGCCTCTGCATCTTTTTGTATAGTGCACCATGCTTATATAGTATTGTGATTTTTGCTGATTGTACTGTAGAGTGCTATAGTTTTATGTTCTGATATACATTACAATACCACATGTAAAAGTTATATAAAAGCAAAGTCATCAAGTTGGAATTTCCTTTGACTATTTCTTTGTCCTGCATATTGTAATGTATATACTATATACAATTCCTCTCTTAGAGACCAACTCACTCAACAACATAATCGCAGGAATGGAACTCAGTCATTAAACAAGGAGTATCTATAATTCCTTAAAAATAATTAGTGAGATAATTTATTGAGAATTGTACGTTTTACTATTATAATATGTACCCATTCTATATTTCTGGGTCCATTTGTTTTGTATATCTTTTGTATTTAGCTATGATTTTTAACATTCAGTATTTTAGAATACCAATTATAAAGGACTGATTTTGATATCACTTATTTATGCTTAATCACAAAGATAATAGTTTACACATGAGGGTTAGTAATAGCCAACTATCTTTCTTTGGTATCAGGTTGTGTAACTGTAAAATAAAGATGATGTTCCTGAAAAGTACAAGATCCCAATGATGAATGTAACTGCATTGTATATCTAAAATGTAGATAGATAGATAGATAGATAGATAGATAGATAGATAGATGATGCTTCTGACATTATAGGGTTATTATAGCAATTGAAGTACAAAATAATATAAAATCTCTTGAAAATTGTAAGAAAAGTATCTTAAATTTAACTATTTGAATATTTGTTTCATTATAAAGATGAGAGATAAGGCTGTTGGAGAGCCTGGCAAGTCTTTTCTTACTTTTTAATTTTCTGTCTGGACTGCTTTGCAGCAATGGAAAGAAGGTAGATAAACATAACCTCACAGATGTCCACAGTTAGACAACTGCCAACTTTAGCAAAGTAGTAGAGTTCATAGGGCAGAGTATAGGTGGAGACAGGTACATGAAAAAAAAAATCTGTAGAGGGCATCCCCAGAATGTTTACTTAGCAAAGTATTTATCAGTATATGCCTGTGGAAAAAAATACCAGGAAAGAGGGGATAACCTTCTGAATAATTAGAGGGCATAGTTCCCCACTTCTTACTCAAGGACACAAAGGTTACCTATTCTCACCGTTGGACTGGAAAAAAACTCAATTCATTAGGCATTTAATAGAAGACTCAGAAGAATCTTACCTCAGTAATAGGGGATAATTTGCCCAAGGTAATTGCCACAGTGATCTCACCCAACATATCTTAATAGAAAAGACTTGAAAGCATCAGTTTTCAAGTAACAGCTGCATTCTAGAACAAATCTCAAGAATGTTTATTTATAAAAATAAAAATTATCTAGGATTAAACATGAAAAAATTAATGTTGGTTTATTTCTAATGAAAGACTATCAGACATGAAGGAAGTAGGAAAATACAACCCATGATGGGGAGAAAATGTAAGACTCATTCAGAAGCAACATCAAAATTAGAATTAGCATGTGGGTGCATGAAAATGTGATCAGTTCAAAAGATACAGACATGGAAAATGTAAAGATGATCCAAATCCAAATTCTTAATATGAAAATTGCAATGTGTGAAATGAATATAGAGCAGATAGTTATTAACTTATTAGAAACTCTGTACTTAGGCAATATTCTGAGGTCTGCTGTCAAAAGAAGAGTATAGGCTGTAAAGAGAAGCTCATCAAAATGGAAAGGGACATCTGCAAAGATGACTAGAGCGCAGTGCCTTGGATACTAAAGAACATTGATCCTAGTTTGCCGAGTATGAAAGTTCACCGCCTCAGAAACCAGCTGCTCTGACAAGACATGCAGGACAATCATACTGGCCCTCTCACTATATTCCACTCCTATTTTTAAAGTCATGATGAATAAAGCCTCTTCTAAGAATACCCGTTTTCTTCTTCAGAGAGCAAAGTAACAAGTGCCAGTGTCAGAGGAACCCAGGCACAGACAAGTACAGTGATGTCCTGGGTCAAACGATACATAAAGGATGCCTACTGCATTCTTTCCAGTACACTGCATGGCTTTCATCATTTAATTCAGATGCCCATATTTATAGCCACAACTGTGTTTCTGAGGATCTCCACAGTGAATCCCTTAGGATGAGGCATAGTGAATCCCAAGGGTTCACTCTAGCTACCCTCGTGAAGAATCAGCACCCTATCAACCCCTCTGGTGTGCACCTTGGCTACATTGATACGTGGTTGTGACATTTTGCTGTGCTGCTCATTGCTAATTTTCTTACTTTGTTGTGAGACAGCATGTGACCTGAAAGGAAGACTAATCTTCTATCTAATCATCTGCTCTCTGGGAAGTCCAGGTCTGAGTATGAGGATTTTTACGCAACACAGTCTGTTCTCTACATATATTCTTATTTATAGGATGATTAGTAAGAATCACTGCATGACATAGTTGTCTATCTTCCTATTAAACCTTCACTTAATTTGTGCCAACAATTGCAGGCATAATGAAAACTATTGGTATCTCACACACGCTGTCTTTATTATTGTATATGATAAAAGCTTCTGGGACTCCTGTAAAGTTTGCTTCTTTCCTACCTCCACATACTAATTCCCTCCAGAGAACTGGAACCATCAATAATATACTCTATACCAACATAAGAGAGGTATTTAAGTGATTATGGTATTACATTACTCTTATTTTATAACTCAGAAACAATTTTTAATGAAAAACAAGAAAAGTATATTTTATGTAGTGAAGTAAAACAAGACTATGATAATTTTGTACATTTACAAAATTTATTCTTGATTGAGCATAAGTAGTTTTTACATATAATCACATATCTTGAAATGAAAGAAGGAATGATAACTGATAGACTGAATGAAGTTGATGCACAATTTTTAATGTATTACAATGAATACATACATATATATATATTATACATATATTATCCTTTCCTATAGATGAGTGTTCTAAAGTAACCAGACATTGCATAAACCAGTTATGTTGTTCAGACTTTGTTTGGGTGATTGTCTCCTTTCCTTTTCCTGTGACACCCTTTTTAAGAACAGGAAATCAATTCATAGACAGGATTAAGCATGTAGATTTAACTCCATATCCAAGTATCCTTGTGAAGATAGGCAACGTTCATAAAAATGAGTCACATGAATAAAAACCTGT